ACTTTACGTTAGTTTAAGGAAGGCAATGGAATTATAACTACTCATGTTAATAACACTATATCTTAGCATGGAGGAAGAATGGTGAAACCATATCCAAGTTTTCAACATTTTTTCTTACTAAAACCACTCGAGAAAAATAAAAATTGTATTGAGACATATGTTTATTTAGATTGGAAATCATTCATACAATTATATTAATGATGTTACTAGCTCTAAATTGAAAAGAAATTAAACCAATTACATTCAAGCCTGTATTTTCTTAAACTTGGTTAAAATGTTCAACTCAATGGGATTCTACAAATTTAATATTATATTGTTCTAATTTTTTATGTATTTAAATTTTTCTATTATTTTATCATTTAATTAATGTATTTACATATTAATATCCTGGCTTGAATTATGCTTGTCAATATTAAAGAGAAAATGGCAATAATCCCCTGAAAGTATGATTTTATAATATTTGGTAACATACTTATTAAAAAATGAGAAAAGAGTCATTTGAATTAGCAATTTTGGGAAGTATCGCCATTACTGTCACAACTACAGCTGGCTTAGCTTTGCATGAAGAATTTAAACCTCAGTTTCAAAATTAAAATGTGATTGGAATACTATGCAGTTTTGCATTACTCCAGTAAAGTGGAATGATAGTGAATGGAATGAATCCTAGTAATTTCAAGATGATATACTAAAATTACATGCTCAGATTCATTCTGCTTTTGATAAGCAATTGGATTATTTTAATATCATAGATATTCTTCAAGAAACAGTGAAGGAATATACAACCTGAATCCTTCTGATCAAATAGAGATTTTGGGGGATGTATTTTTGTGAGCTTATTTTGCTTAATTTGTTATATTTGTTTGTTTATAAAGGATGGAGAGAACAAAAACAAGCAAGAATGAGTCAAAGAAGAGAAAAAGCCATGCTCGTCTACATGACAACATAATTATGATATAAACAAAAGGGGGGAAATGTGGGAAGCCAAATTTCATACTAAATATTTATAATGAGTGGGTGAGTGGGTATAGAGTGGATGGATGGATGGATGGAAAGGATTAATGGGTGGATAGATGAGTAGATAGGTAGGTAGGTGGGAGGATGGATTGTTGCATAAGTGGGAAGAAGGGTGAATGGAAGAATGAGTGGATGGCTGGTGGAAAGGATGGATGGGTGGATCAGTAAGTGTTAAGATAGAAGGATAGTTGAGTGGGAAGATGGATGAATGAGAGGATTGATAGATGGACGGAGGGTGAACAGATGGGTGAATAGGAGTGTAGGTGGGAGGATTGATCAATGAGTGGGTGAGTGAAAAGATAAATGGAAGGGTAGATGTATGGATGGATGGACAAGTGGATTGGGGGATGAATGAACAGATAGATGGAAGGGTTGGTGGGTGGATGGATGGATGGATGGATGGATGGATGGATGAGTGGATTGAGGAATGAATGATCAGATAGATGAATGGATTAGTAAATGGATGGATGGATGAGTGGTGAGTGTTGAATCCTAGGAGAATGGGTGGTGGGAGGATGGATGGATGGGTGAGTAAGTGGATAGATGGATGATGGAACATGGATTGACGAGTGATCTATGGCTACCTGAGGTGATGATTGATCCCTAAAGCGCACTCTGGTCTCAATATCCCTTAAGCTTCCAGTCAAGGCTAGCATGGCACTCTTAAGCTTACTTTGATCTTGTGTCTCCCCTCCCCAGGCCAGGACCAGCATTGTTGGGGTCTCTGGGAGGTCTGACAACCCATGCATCCATAAATGTGGTCAAGGTAGGACCACTGGTGTCCAAGGACTGTGCAATGGGCTACACCCTGCCCTCTGAGGCTTTGCCTTCTCCCTGCTGCACAAGGAGTTGGGAACATGGCAGTCATGGAGCCCTTAGACGAAGCTGTAAGGACCAGCGGGGCCAAGTCACTAGACAAGGTACTAGGTGCCCCTATGTGGGTATCTGACACTCCCCACTTCTCCCCACAATTGTCCAACCTCATGGAGGTGTCTGACACACTCACCATACAATACTGTTTCCACCTGTCCCTGAAGAGTATCTGAATGGTCAGTCATTTTCAGGGGGGTCGGGTCCCTCCCACAGCATTCAGTTGCCCTCTCTGCCCTCTGTCGCTGACAAGGAAGCTGATGTCCCTTTCCATAGTTAGTGATGGTTCCCACCCCCTCTCCATTTTCCTCAGCATCCAGCTCCCCCAGTCCAGACCCCTGCAGCCTCCCACCCATGAGCCAGACTCTATGATAGCAAGAGGTCACTGTTGGAGGACAGTAGTATATGAGGGACTACCAGTTGGATGGGGGGATGCTGAGGCCCACAGGGGTCTCAGAAGCCTGAGGCCAGGGGTCAGGCTGGGTTTCTGGTGCCCCTATCAACTCCTGCTCAGAATCCCTGAGTGCTGACCACTGGTGACCTCAGATACTCAGATGTTGGAAGCTGACACTCCAAAATGCACTTTCATCAAGATGCCCCCCAAACACCAGGGCCGGGAGGCCACCCCCTTCTGTGTGACCCAGGATGTTCCCAGGTTGCCAGTGCCTGGGCTCAGGGCCCTGTGACAATGTCCAGACTGGGAGAACACAGAGGGAAGAGGTCAAGACCTGGATGCCAGAATAAGGGGAACAGATCTGTGCTGGGGGCCTCCATGAGTCCCCAAAATCAGGGCCATCCTGGGCCCCCGTGAACCATGTTGTGCACGTTAACTTTAGCCTCACTAGTAGAGCACACCCTGGGTCACACCCCAGCTTCTGGCTGCTGTTCAAGGGTGTCTCTAAGTGTCCTTACACGTGGACAAGCAAACCTCAGGTCCTGGCATGCTTCCAGCTAAATGTCAGTTCATCTGGCCGTCGACAAACTAACGGACCATCACACCCTCACCCCTGTGCCTGCCCAGCCCTGCCCAGTGTCCAGTAGGGCCAAGTGGCCAAACTTATGATGGCCCCACAACTCCAGCCATCCTGATCCAGTCATGGTCAATGGAGGCCCAAGGTTTCCACGTGGGGGCTCCATTGCTGGGGGTCCTGGGTGACCCTCTGACTCACTTGCCACCCTAGACACTGAGGGACTCAAGGGGGCAACAGGATGTAGGCAAGTGACCAGCACATACTCCCCATGGGACTTAGTAAATAACGTTGAAACCAGGCCCAGGTAAAGGCCAGGGTCCTTGGGAGGGTCACTGAAAGGGAAGAGGCTAGGCCCATGACCCAGTTCTGGGGACACTGACTAGGGTAGTCAGTCAGTAAGAGTTGGCACACACACCACTGGCCCCTTTAGCTGTCTGGGACAGCCCGTCCATGGAAGTGAGTCCAAGAAAGTCATGGACGATCGTGAACTATCCTGTAAGAGGGTGGAAGGTGACGGCCGGTGGTAGGTCAAGGATGGGGTGTCAGGCAGCCTGGAGTGTGTGTCTGCTCTCTAACTCCTTTGCCACTTATGGCGGGGAGTGGGGGACAGGCTGCCAGGTCAGGGCTGTGGTGAGGACTGGGAGGTGCCACTGGGTAAAGAGGTTTCCTGGCTTGTGGCTTCCTCCAGCAGATGCCGGGAAGTGGGGAGGCGGGCTGAGCCTCTGGAGGGGTAGGCCCTGCAGGACAGGGTTGAAAACTTGAGCTGGGAAGGCGGCAATACTTGGAGGGTGCGTGTGGAGTGGGGCTCTGTCTAGCTAGGGAGTCTCTCAGGAGTCCTGCAGGCCTGTCCCCACCTCTCCAGATCCCAGGGTCCGCCTCCTCCCTGTCCGGCCTTCCCTGTTCCTAGAACCTGGCCTGTCCCATCGTCAGGCACCCTCCACAGTCTAGTCCTGAGATGTGGGGTTCGTCTTTCTTTCAGGTAGAGTGGGGCCTCCAGGTGAGGGGCTGACAGAGGGCGGGGCACAGGTCTGGTCACGCCCCGCAGGGATTCCCCCCACCCCTAACCGCCTCCAGCCATGTCCTGAGCGTTCTGAGCCCGGAGGTCGCCAGGAAGACAGGTCAGGGTCTGGGAAGCGGCCCATTCTTTAACACACACACCCCCGCCCGGGTTAAAAACCCAGCTTCCCGGGAAGGGCGCGCGCCTCTGCTGCTTCCTGAGCGCCTCTTCCCGGCACGGAGGGGTGGGGGCTGCCGAGGCAGCCTGCGCTCCCACATCCCGGCCTTGCTCACCGGCCTCAGTGCCCGTCCTCTGGCCGCAGCGTCCCTCTGCCTCGGTGTCCCCTGAGATAGGGCGGTGTGAGAGTTCAGCCCGCGGGGCGAGAACTCCTACTGCGACCTTTATTCCTCAACCAGGAAAACTGAGGCACAGACTTGGCATCCGGCTCCCTGTGGTCAGAGCTGCACAGAGCCACTGCTGACCATTAGTCACTGTAGCCATGCACTTCGAGTTAAGGAGAAATCCAGACAGGGCGTCCCCAGGAGCTAGCAGACCAGAGGCCGGCATGGAGGTTCTGTGGTCTCCAGTGCCCATGGACAGAGCTGGAGGTTCTCTGAGAGCCAAGAGGGGCCAAGGAGCTGGGGAGGGGCCCTCATATCTTCAGGGGCTAGGAGGAGGGGGGCCAAGGAGTCAGGCATGTTCCCAGAGGATTTGCTAGCAGTGAGCTGCTAGGTCCTCCCATACCAGACATGCCTGTCCCAAAATGCCCTGGCCCCTAGGACCCCCGTGGCCATCCTGCAGGCCCTAAGCTGATGGCAGGTTCTCTGCTGCCAGGTGTAGTCACTCCTGGAAGTTCAGAACGGGCTCCCACCCATGGGGCGGACCACTGGCAGACGCAGCGGCTGTGAATTTTTTTCCATCCACTTGACCCCTCTTAGGTCCCCACTGGTGAGGCCTGGCGTCATTCTGCCTGTTCTGATCTCGGCCCACCTCTGGTCCTCAGGCCTCTTGCTGCCTTCGGGTCAGGGTTCAGTCGGAAAGCCCGTTGGGAAGCCCCCGGGGAGCCACATGAGAGGGGGCGGCAGGAAGAAGCCAGCACCACTACTTAAGCCTGGTGCCCTGAGGTGGTGGCCAGAAGGGGACAGAACATGGAGTGCGGAGTGATCCTCCTGCTGCTTGGCTTGGGGCTCCCGCTGCAGGGCCACGGTGAGGGGACCAGAGCCTCATCATAGGAGGGGTGCCTGGGGAGGGAAGGGGTCCTCCATAGGGGAGGCAGCTTAGAGAGGGGGGCCCCTAGAGAAGGTTATGGGAGAGGGCTTAGGGAGAGGTGAAGGAGGAGGGAAAAGCCAGGGAAGGGGCCTTAGGAAGAAGGAAGAGTAGGGGACATGGGGGGGGGGGGAGGTCAGAGGAGGGGTCTTAGAGGAGAGGGGGTTTAGAGAGAGGAAGGGGAGATTAGGGGAAGGAGCTTAGAGGGAGATGGCGGTTGCAGAGGAGGTCAGAGCTTAGAGAGGGGAGGGCCTAGGAAGGTCAGGGGAGGTGGGGAACATGGGGGAGGTCAGGGGAGGGGTCTAGGGAGAGGTGAACCCCGCTCAATCCAGGTAAGGAGAGTGGGAGCTTAGCTAGAGCAACGGGCAGTCCTTAGGGTGATATGCTACTAACACAAAAGTGGCCTCTCCGGTGGTTGGAATCCACCAATGACTCTGCTGGACAAAGATGGTCATTCTCCTCCAAAAACTGGCTAGAGGGTCAGCTGAGCCGATTCCGACCCCACAGCTATGAGCGAGATGAGAGGCATAGGAGGGCCGTTTAGAAGGGTCTCAGAGGGGGAGGGATTGTAAAACAATGAAAGAATTTTTCTTTTACTTTTCCAAGAGGGTAGTGTACTAGGGGGGAGGGTTGGGAGGGGAGAAAAGTGCAACAATGAATGAATGGAAATCCAAAGTCTCTGTAAATTTTCATTGAAATCAATAATAAATTTTTAAAAAATAACAATATATATATAAAAGAAGAAGAAGCAGGGTCTCAAGAGAAAGTGTGGGACGGGGATGAAGCTTTGGAAGGACAGCACTTGGATGAGGGTCAGCATGAGATGGAGAGGGCTTGGGGACTGGAAAGGGCTACACATCAAAGGGAAGGGCTCTCAGAGGTCAGTGGGGTCAGGGGCTCAGAGGCAGGGTTGTCCAGAGGATGAGGTGGTGAGAGGCCGACTTTTCAGGATGGGCGCGTCAGTGGGAGGGTGAAATGGGTTCTTAGAAGGTGAGCAGAGAAGGGAGGTGTCTGGGGCTGCCCTATGACCCCAGAGAGGGGGCAGGGGTGGGGCTGAGGGCAACTGTCTGACCCACAGGACAGAGCCTGGAACTGGATCCCCCAGAACCTGAGGTGGCGGTGGCACTGGGTGCATCACAGAAGTTCACATGCAGCCTGGCTTGTCCGGATGGCAGTGCTACTTCAGTGCAGTGGCGGGGGCTGGACATCAGCCTGGGCTCAGTGCAGACCTCTGCGGGCAGGAGTGTCCTCCACATACGCAATGCCTCACTGGCCACTGCAGGAACCCGCTTGTGCGTGGGCTCATGCGGGGCACTAACGCTGCAGCGCACAGTCCAGCTGCTGGTTTATGGTGAGGCCTGTCCGGTCCCTGCTGGGCCCTGCCTCCCATCCTGCTCAGTCCTGTCCCTGCTCACTCCTGTCCGGTCCAGTGCCACAGCCTCTGGTCCACGTGCTACCCAGACCACCTCCTTCCAAACCTTCCCCGGTGCCCTGTGCTCAGAACTCAGCCTCCAGCCTTGAGCCCACTCTCTCATCTGCGCAGCCCCCCCCCCAGTTTCTAGCCTGCCCCCTCCACCGCCCAAAGGTGGCCCTGTCCAGCCTGTCACCTGCAGTCCAGGCCACCACCTCTGGGCTCAGGCCCTATGTCCTGCTCTCCCCCTCCACAGCCTTCCCAGACCAGCTAAGTGTGTCCCCAGCAACCCTGGTGCCCGGGCAGGACCGGAAGGTGGCCTGCACAGCACACAACGTCACGCCCGTGGACTCTAGCCTTCTGTCCTTCTCCCTGCGGCTGGAGGACCAGGAGCTGGAGGGAGCAGAGTCCCTAGGCAGGAACGAGGAGCCCCTGGAGGATGAGGATTCCTTCTTCCTGGTGACGGAGCACTGGCTGCTACCACCTCTGGACATCCCTGTCCCAGCCCAGCTCTACTGCCAGGCCACAATGCAGCTGCCTGGCTTGGAGCTGAGCCACCGCCGTGCCATCCCAGGTGAGTCCCTCTGGAAAGATGCACAGTCACCCCCAGGAGGACTGCCCACCTGCTAACTGGTCTGGGTCCACCTTGAGAAGCTCAGGTCCCCATTTGGAGGAGCTGTTGGCTTTGGGTAGCCAGCAGGATGCTTCTCAAAGCATTCATTCCTTCATTCACTGGAAGTGCTGCCTAAGCACCAAAATATCCCAGGCACTGCCCATCCCGTCTGTGCTCCCGCTGCCACCAGAGTGTGCATGAGCCGTGAGCACCAAGGTGGCCAGTCCCACTGCCCTGGTGCTCTTTGTACCCTGAGGCCTCCTCCCTCCCCACTCAGAGGGCTCTCGCTCTCTCTCCCACTCTCCCTCCTCCCTTCCTCCCCCTCCCTCTCCCCACTCCCCCTCCTCTCTCTCTCTCTCTCTCTC